CGGTTAATTCACAAAACTGTAAATTCTCCGGCAGAACGCACTGTTCATAACATAGTCATGATTACAGTCAAAATACTCGAAATCGCTCACTGAATCTAATTATGGCATTTAAATCCTTAAATTAAATCTCTAACTAAGATTTACCAGTTAGGGTCATTATATTCACCCCACCTTTTAAGGATTTTGCCCACAAAATCAAATATCAAATATACATATACCTGACATCAAACTCATGATATCGCTGGAGAATTTCATTCTCCCGCTCCCAAGTGGCGTCCTCAGGAGTCAATCCTTCCCATTGTACCTTGATCATGGGAATAGTCCTGTTTCTCAACACTTTTTCATCACGTGCTAGAACCTTAAACGGTCTCACAACAAACTTCAAGTCTTTTCTTACTTCGATATTGTCCGGCTGTACAATGTGGGATTCATCCGGCACGTATTTTCGAAGTTGACTGATGTGAAAAACACTATGCAAATTTGACAGATGTGGAGGTAAGGCTCAGGAACACCATGAAGTTTCACAATCTCTCTTACATATATCCGAGCCAACTGCTCTGTGGAGAAACTCGTTTTAACTGGTATGAAATGTGCAGACTTTGTCAATCTGTCAATAACTACCCAGATGGAATCAAAACCAGCCTGAGTTCTCGGTAATGCTACTACAAAATCCATAGAAATACTGACCCATTTCCATTCCGGAATATCCAAGGGCTGCAGTAATCCAGAAGGTCTCTGATGCTCAATCTTAACTTTCTGACATGTCAAACACTTACTCACAAATAGAGCAATGTCTTTCTTCATTCCCGACCACCAGAAATTCCGTTTCAAGTCTTGGTACATCTTGGTAGCACCAGGATGGATAGTGTACTTACCCATGTGACCCTCAGTTAATACCTCATCTACCATCTGACCTTTTGGAACAATGATCCGATCCTTGTAAAACTTAAGACCGAACCTATCAGTGGACACAAAGTCCTGCTCTTTCATAGACTGAATCTCTTCATCAAGCAATTGAGCCTCTTTAATCCGCTCAACTAATGAATTCAGGACTACCGTAGTAGTCAATAAATGTGGACTATCTTCTGTATTCACAGGAATGTGGAGATCCCTGAATTTCTCAATCAAGTTATACTCGGAAATCATCAAATTGGCCATACCAAGCGTCTTTCTGCTTAAAGCATCAGCTACTACATTGGCTTTACCAGGGTGATATTGCAATTCAAAATCATAATCCTTCAGAAATTCCACCCATCGGCGTTGCCTCATGTTTAGCTCCTTCTGATCAAACAGATACTTTAGACTTTTGTGGTCACTGTAGACAATAAAATCGGCCCCGTATAGAAAGTGTCGCCAAATTTTCAATGCGAACACTACGGCTGCCAACTCAAGATCATGTGTCGGATAATTCTCCTCATGTGGTTTCAACTGCCGAGAAGCATAAGCGACCACCTGACGGAACTGCATTAACACACAACCTAACCCAAACTTAGAAGCATCACAATACACCACAAACTTACTTGTAGGATCCGGCAATATTAATACCGGAGCTGTAGTCAACTTCCTTTTTAACTCTTGAAAGCTTACTTCACATTCTTGGGTCCACACAAATGGGTTCCCTTTACGGGTTAACCGTGTCAAAGGTAAAACCATCCGTGAGAATCCCTCAATAAAACGCCTATAATATCCAGCCAAACCAAGAAAACTCCTGATCTCTGTAACACTTTTAGGACGTTCCCATTCTACCACTGCTTCAATCTTGCTCGGGTCCACTGCCACTCCTTCAGATGAGATGACATGGCCCAGAAATTGTATCTCGGAAAGCCAGAATTCACATTTTGATGGTTTAGCATACAACTGATGCTCTCTCAGAATCTGCAAAACAACCTTTAGATGCTCAGAATGCTCTTCTTTACTCTTTGAATATATCAGTATGTCATCTATAAAGACCACCACAAACTGATCCAGATAGGCTTTAAAGATCTGATTCATATAACCCATGAAAACGGCTGGTGCATTTGTAAGCCCAAAAGGAATAACCAGATACTCATAGTGCCCATAACGGGACCTGAAAGCTGTCTTCGGAACGTCATCCGGCTTTACCCGGATCTGATGATACCCGGACCGGAGATCAATCTTAGAAAATACAGTCGCACCACGCAACTGATCCAACAAATCATCTATACGCGGCAAAGGATACTTATTCTTAACAGTAACCTTATTCAACTGCCGGTAGTCTGTACATAATCTCATAGACCCATCCTTCTTCTTAACAAAGATCACCGGTGCTCCCCACGGAGACACACTCGGTCTGATAAAATTCTTACTGGACAAGTCTTCAATCTGCTTCTTCAATTCAGATAATTCTAGAGGTGACATCCGGTATGGGGCAAGGGAGATAGGTCCCACACCAGGCAATAAGTCAATTGCAAATTCAATTTCCCTCTCTGGAGGAAAGTGCGGAATTTCATCCGGAAAGACATCCTCAAACTCAGAGACAATCGGAATAACAGAAATTGGCTCCTTGTTGACGCCAACCAGACCTCCCAATAAAACATACCCGGAATCTCCTTCCTTCAAGGCCTTTACCACCTGAAGTACAGACAAATAAGGAGACTCCATTTCTTCATCATGAGATGAGACATAAATGGTTTTACTGCAGCAGTCAATCTTCACACAGTACTTGGACAACCAATCCATCCCCAGAATTAAATTCACAGAAGCAAGGTGCAAGACAATAAAGTCGGCAGAATATTCCCTGCCTTCATACTTGAATTTCACATTTTCACAAACATAGTCTTCATTAAAAACTCTTCCCACAGCCGTAACAATACGCATAGGAGTTTTCATTTTTATCACATGCAGACCAAATGCTTCAGCTACATAATCAGCAATAAAAGAATGCGTGGCACCAGAATCAAACAAAACACTAAGCATTTCATCATGAATAGAAATCATACCTCGCACCAAACTAGCTGACCTCTCAGCCTCTTGCTGAGTCACTGCATATACTCGGGCAACTGGAGGTGGGAGAGGTAGAGATGGTTCCTCAACCACAATAGGAGCCGGAGTGGCCTGAATAGTAGAAACCTGTCCCCCATTAAAGGGGCAGTCCCTAATAAAATGCCCAGGTTGGCCACATTTGTAACACAATCTTTGCTCTTTTCTGCAAACCCCAGCATGAACTTTACCACATGTAGCACATAGAGAAGCAGGCTTAATATTTCCAGGCTTAGAATTTCCCGCCTTTTTGAACTTACCATCAGACTGTCTAACCTGCAACCCTTTTCCTTTAGAATTCCCAGAAGTGTTTTTAGGACCAGAATTAGGAGCAGATTGGTCCTTATGCTTCCTTCTGTAATATTCTTGAATATTTTTACACTTTTTAACAAGTGCAGCAAAAGTATCAAATGAGTCACCTGCAAGTTTTTCAGAGATGTTATCATGTAATCCTCTATGAAATTTAAAAATCAAGTCATCCTCTGTAGGTGGAGCTCTCTGGAAATGAGAGTATTTGGCCAGCTTATTGAACTTATTCAAGTATTCATCAATAGACATCTGACCCTGCTTTAGTTCTTCAAATTCACCCTTCTTCCTTATCCGGGCTTCAGCCGGAAAGTATTTCAGCAAGAATTGCCTTTCAAATAAAGGCCAGGTAATAGCATAACCCTGACATTCCAAGGGCAGACGGGTATTTCTCCACCAATCAGCTGCATCATTCTGCAACATATAAGAAGCATACAACAATTTCTGCTGATCATCACACTCCATGACAGTAAAAATGCGATCCAATTCTTCTAACCACTGAATTGCAGCAATAGGATCAATGCCTCCTTTATAATTTGGTGGTGCATGTTTTCGGAAGGCATTTAGCATTCTTTCTCTTTGCTCTCTATTAGTGGCTGGCTGTGCCACGCCACCCCTGTGACTAGATTCTTCATTCACATCATGATTTCCTTCACCCTCCACAACAATGGGATTTTGAGGAGGAGGAACAGGCTGTTGTGTTGTGGTTGTGGCTCAAAGGCTGTGGCTGTGGACCTTGCCCACCCGCCCTCACCTCAACCAAGAGTAATCTCATCATTTCAATATTCGCCATTCTGCTTGCTGCCATCATTTCTTGATTGGCCAACCTATTAGCCTCTAACAGATCTTGATTTGCTTTCATCATCACTTCAAGCTCTCGCTGCCTAGCTGCAGCCATATTTTGTTGCATCTCAGTTAAGGCCATTATCATTGGATCTGGCTGTGAAGTATTTCCCCGCGGGTTAAGTCGGGGTCTTGCCAAATCTGCCAATATTGGATCGGTCGGGTCAATAGGAGGATCAGAAGTCCTTCTTGGGCGAACCATAATTCTGCATATTTCACACAAAGGAATGAGTTAGCTACGCTCACACTCGGTGATCAGACATGCATATCATAGTATTCCAAGAAAACTCAAGAACATAACAACCCGAACAGTTCATGCAATATTTCACAGGCTCTCCTAGAGAAACTGCTCTGATACCATAAATGTAACATCCCCGTCTCGAGCCGGTTCAATTAACATACATATGATACAAACAGAAACAGCGGAAGACTTAACTTACAAAAATATGAGCTAACTTTTTCTTTTTCTAACTTAATTCTTACTCGGCGTAAACGAAAATCGGGCAGAGTTTCCTCTATAAATCGGACAACTGGGGATTTTCCAATCCCACTCAGAAGCATTTCCTGATAAACAGTTTATACAACATATCAATTCAGAAATGCCAGATATCCAAATATAATCAAATACCCATACATGGGCGCATGCATAACATGGCTCCGTGCCACTAAATCTAACAGCATGCCATCAAAACATAAACCTATCTGAATACTACATCATCATATAACGTTCCTGAATACTCAAATGTACATGCATCAAACTGATAGACATGTACAAAACATATACAGGCCATATACAAAATAAAGGATCAATATCATGATCCATCAAATGCGAAAATACTAAAATACATCAAACACTCCAAAAAGGTAGTAGCCTACAGCCACTCAAAATCCGGTCTGTCAACTGCCTCAGCCACGTGTCGTGTCCCTGCCTAGTGAGGACTCACCGGAAATCTGGGCCCCTGAAAATGTGTCCCCAAAGAGGGGTGAGATTACAAATCTCAATAAGCTCCAGGTTTATAGAGAATTCTCCATACCCCTGGCTCACTCCTGCATGAAATTCAGATACAGAGTATACAAATACAACATATAACAGATATCATAACAGAACAGAGCATATATCCATATCATATCAGAGATGTGCGCCGTCATTCCCAAGGGAGGACCCCAAGCGGAAATCAACGCACGTGTTCCCGAGGGAGGACCCCAAAGCGGAACCAGACATATCAGAGGAGTACACCATCAGTCCCGAGGGAGGACCCCAAAGCGGACGTCCGGGTACTATACAATCAATGGCCAGAGATTGTTACAGAAATCATATTACAGAAGTCATATCAGAGCAAAACATATCATGTTATCAAATAACTCTATATGAATGCATCTATACAAAGCATCTAAATCACAGTCATACAGTCCAACCATAGTTCACTAACCATGGTGGAGCACTCAAGTAGGAAAAGACTCCTTAAACATAGAGCTTACCTCTTGAAGCTTTACCAATACGCTTACTTGTGGAACAAGTTACTTTTATCGCTTCAAGAGATTTCCGATCCTTCTCAATCCCTAGGCACACCTAGAGAATAATTTACAATGCATCAATAAAATGATGCAATACCATGATTATTTCATAAGCATACATTTTATCGCTTATTTTCCTTTCTTTATATTTTTGCCAATTCTATGCCAATACACAAGTCTAGACCTCTATACACCCGTTGGCGTTCTTTAATTTAATCAAGCATTTACTTAAGAATTTTTCACATAAATCATGTTATTTTTCTTTAAAAGTCGCGGGCGTACCCTTAGGGACTCAAGGTATTTTTCAACCATTTGTCAAAGCATTTCACTTCTTAGCTCATCCATTGGTATATTAAAATGCAACCCATTTTATTAGAATAAAATGTAACCAATATATATATACCCCTAAACATCCTATAGTTCGCAACATAGAGCAAGTATTTGTAGGATTTTTTTCTAACTTTGGCATTTCCACCAATTAATCCATTTACACTACATTCCAACATATTTTACCTTTTCAAACATACAATAAAAATTTGCATGATGAACCCTATATAAGCCATGAAGGCCGAAACCTAGGGGAAAAGTGCACTAGGGCTTTTCAATTTTTTTATCACAAATTAATGCTTACTAAACACTATCATTCCTATACAACAACAATCCATCATAATTTTCACCTTCTAACATCAAATATTTCCCACTCAAAACATGCTCCAAATTTTCAAAACATAGATCACAAAATAATACCATAGAAATAGAGGTTTCTTACCTCTAATCACTTGTACAAAGCCTAGAGAATAACCTCCAAACAAAGCTCCATCAAAAACCCACTTTTTCTCCTCCTATGAATAGTAATCCGAAAATAAGAGGAGGAATAACTCTTCACACACTCAACTATAGCTCAAATGGATAGGTGCAATGGATTCCTTGAGTGGTTCCTAATCAATTTCAAGTGGTGGGTCATAAGATTTGGTTGAGAATTCAAGAAGAAATCAACAAAACAAGCAAAACCCTAACCCCCCCCTTTCCATGGCTGAAGCTCGGCCCTTCAGAGAGAGAGAAGAAGAAATTTTTGCAATGAATAGTGATTCATTTAAGTGGCCAAGCTATTTAGGCACATGTGGCCCTTTTGTCGGATGTTTTTCTATCGCGTATTTCACTTAAATTTACCGGAAACTTAACTTAAAGCTACGGATATATTTTTATTTTTCTAAAGTTATTTAAATTAATTTTTATTTCCTAAGGAACAATATTCATAATTCACAGTATGGTTTTTGCACCGTTTTTAACGAAATGCACTGTGAATCACTAACTGTACTTTATTTAATTCTGAAACTTAACACTTATAAACTTATCATTTTCTTGGGCCTATATTGACTTGCTTGGCATATATTGGACTTTCTTATTCTTATTTCATCAATTATTTATTTCTGGACTCTACCGGTTGCTTAAACAGCAGTACAAAATACCCGGTAGAAACACTATTCACGAGATTTTCACGGAAAGTGCCAGACTATACAATTTTTCGTTCTGAACTCATATTTGTCATCAGAATTTTCAAATTATGTTCCTAAAATTATTTTGCTCATTTTAAGCTCTACCGGTTAATTCACAAAACTGTAAATTCTCCGGCAGAACGCACTGTTCATAACATAGTCATGATTACAGTCAAAATACTCGAAATCGCTCACTGAATCTAATTATGGCATTTAAATCCTTAAATTAAATCTCTAACTAAGATTTACCAGTTAGGGTCATTATACTTAACATTAACTAAAACAATGTTTTTAATTATAATTTTTTTTAAAAATAAAATAAAACACCACAACCTAGTTGCTCTAAAAAGTGAATCTTTCAAGTTAGAGCAAACTCATTTTCTCTATATAAAATCACTGCACAAAGAAAAATACAACCATGCAAATGAAAAGAGAGCAAAGCAAAAAGGCCAAAGCTTTCATTAATCAGAACATTGCAAATGAAAATAAAAAAGAAAATGCAGAAAATGGTACACATAACACACATTAGGTGAAGTGGAAGTAGATTTTAACTGGAATCTCAAACCAGAACTTCTGGAAGAAGCACATTTAACATTAATAATAGTACCATGTCTAGCCTTTAATTGAATTAAAAAAAAATCAATTTTTTTTGGAGGAAGGGGGCGCCTACCCTAGCCTCCCCTGGCTTCGCTCCTGGATTCGTTGGATTACGATTACTATTTTATTGAGTTTAATATAAATATTTGAGATATCTTATGTTTCTTTATAAAATTGATAGATATTATGGGCCTGTTTGGAGCACATGATAAAGAAGATAAGATATGATAACTTATCATATCCTACTTTTATCTTTTGTTTGGTAGGTCAATAGGATATGATTAGCTTATCCTATTGTCTCATTTTATCCCATCCAATACATGATTTCTTATCCTATGGGGGGAGCTGGGTTAGGATTCAACAGGATAGGATACCAAAATTGGATACCCAACCCAATATATCCCCACGCTACCTCCCTTCCAAACCCACTCCTCCCTCTCGACCATCTCCCTCCTCCTCGTCCTTGTCGAACTCCCCCTCTCTCTTCTTCTCATGCGAGTGAGGCTCGATGCAGTTTGGTGGGATTGGAGCATTCAGTTTCAAATGTCTCTTCATTCATTTATATAGCAAGTTCATGAACTCGTACTCTTAATTTTCTCTCTCTCCATCATCCAAGGATTTTCCATCTTTTTCCTTTGTTAAAATTTCCTTTGAATTCGTGAGCTGAGAATTATTCCTTGCCTTTCCGCGAAAAGACCCCTAAGTTTCCTCACCTTGTTTCTCCACAAGAACCCCAATTCCAGGATTTATTGTTCCTAATCAGAACAAATTTCTCCACAAGAACCCTAAACCCCAATTTCTGAATTGGGTTATCTTAAATAGAACAAATTTCATAATCTTATCATATTGCTAATCAGGTGCTCATCAAACACAGGATATGATATAAACTTATCAGCCCCATATCATATCCTACCCTTATCCAACTCTCTTATCCTATCCGTTCTTATCCTATCATGTCCACCAAACGAGCCCATAATAAGTTTTGCTTCATTTTTTAATTAAATTATTGAATATTAAATATAATTTATATTACATAAATTTAAAATATTATTTAATATAAAAATATGTCAATGTAGAAATTTAATATAGTTTAAAATTAACGTATCAAAATATTGTATCAAAATTTAATATAAAAAAAATGCTCTCCTCGTGGAGAATAATTTTGTACTTCCAACATTTGCATTGGGCTTTGAACGGTTCAATGTTGAATCTAATCATCAAGCTTTGAAAATTGAGATGCACTTTGATGAAATTCGAAGCACACTCTTCTGCTTTTGCTAATGATTGAAGGCAAGTTAAATCATTAATTACCGCGCTATTGAAATCCATTATTCAACTGAGCCAAAACGCATGAAATGGAAAACAACAAAATAACGGTCGCATATCATTTGAATTGGCGGGGGATTAAACTAAACTTTGCAGAAGGTGTGAACTGGTTAGAGTGGTGGGCCATTTTGCTTTGGAATTTTGTGTTCTTCCACACTTTCGGTGTTTTCAATTTTGGAATGTTGGTTTCCCTTCCCAAACGCTATAAATATCACACAATCAGTGACCTATGTATGCTTTTACTCTTTATATTCTCTTATTTTTCTCAATCTCAAAGAACTAACAGATCCATCACCCTTTTACTCTTATATACTCTGATTAGCTTAACCCTTTTGTTGTTCTCATTTTTTCTTGGCAAACTTAGGGTCGAAAGTTGGTAATTGTTAAAAGTGATTTAAGCTTCTAAGTATTGCTTAAGTTAATTTCATTCTTTCTTTTTTGTTCCAGCTTTTCAGGAATTGGATATTAAGGGGTGAAGGTTTGGATTTGGGGTGGGATAGCTGCCATAAGTGTCCTCTAATTTCTTTAAGACGATGATCCTTGCATACAGTGGATACACTCTATGGAAGTGTCATTTTACTCTTGACAAAAAATCTATTGTAGACAAAAGCTTCTATTTTTGGATCTTCCAGATCTTTAATAGATATAGTCTTGGCACTTGGCATTAATTCTCATTTTACCCTATTCCTTCCAATATTTTGGGTCTTTCTTTATTTTGTTTTGTTTTGGGGTTTGATCTTTCTCAATTTGACAACTTTTTGTGGAACATAGAAACTTAATATGGGTGGGGCATCACTGCCACTAGGTTTTCGTTTCCATCCAACTGATGAAGAACTAGTAGGATACTACCTCAAAAGAAAAGTGGATGGGCTTGAAATTGAGCTTGAAGTCATACCCGTGATTGATTTTTACAAATTCGATCCATGGGAGTTGCCGGGTAATCTTCAATTTCACATTTTGATCATGTTGCACCATAATATGTAAACCTGTAAAAAATAAAATATTTCAGATAAATAGTATATAAACCAGTGTGAAACTGAGACTTTATGAATACTAGAAAGCAGTGTTTTATTTGTTTTTCTTTTCTTCACTTTTTCTTTAGCGGTTAATCATTATAAACAGCATAGCTTTTACGTTGCAAAAGCCGGTTCAATGGGATTTCTTTAGTCAAGCTTTGGAAAAAGCAATGATATCTTCTTTTTTTACTTCACTATTTCTGATAAGTAAATTTGAGAAGCCTAATTCTTTTAGTGTGAAATGCAGAGAAATCGTTCCTGCCAAACCGAGATTTGGAATGGTTTTTCTTTTGTCCACGGGATCGCAAGTACCCAAATGGATCAAGAACAAATAGAGCTACCAAAGCTGGCTATTGGAAAGCCACAGGAAAAGACAGGAAGGTGGTGTGCAAGTCTAATCCATCCAATGTCATAGGGTACCGCAAGACACTTGTTTTTTATCGTGGGAGGGCTCCTTTAGGGGATAGAACTGAATGGATCATGCATGAGTATCGCCTTTGTGATGATCTTGGCCAAGGCTCACCATGTTTTCAGGTAAAGTACACATTTAGTTTTATATATAATGGGTTGGTTTTGGATTGGTCATAATCTGAAGTATCACTGAAAGACTCAAGTTAGTATTTGATCATTGCAGGGTGGTTTTACTTTGTGCCGAGTTATTAAAAAGAATGAGAAGACAAGTGATTCAAAAGAAGGTCACAAGGGCAAAAGGGTTGGAAGCAGTTCCATCAATGGGAGTGACACCTTAATGAGATTCTCTAATGAGCCCTTCAGCATCTCTGGTGATGTTTCCTCTCAAGCAAGTCACTTGAATAATGAGAGCCGTTGTTCAAGCCCTTTTACTTCTTCTCAAGACAATGTGGCTCCAATGGCAGAGTTTAACCAAGTTTCCATGGAAACTAATTCTTCAAACTTTTGGATCTCCTCTGAGATGATTCTTGATTCTTCAAGGGTATATATTTTTTTCTATAGGAACAAAGATAATAAATTAAGATCGAAAAGCTAGATTTTGGAGACATTATTGACATTTTTTCCTACACCAACTGCAGGGATACCTTCAAGAACAAGATAGCGTATCAGAACATTTTCCATTGTATGACTTACCGAGCACAATGACACCATGGCAATCATTGGAACATACAGAAGTTTCACCTAGTTTATCCTACTCAAATTTTAATGGGGAAATTGAATTTGCTGATAATCTCAGTCAAATTGGCTGCATGTCACCTTACTCAGGACAAGGGAATTTCATGGACTTTTGTGGAAGTGGGGATGTTCCTTATGAAGATTATGATCAAATGAATTCAATATTATATCCAAAACCCTTCTAAAATCTGAAAACAAAAGGAAGATCATTCTCCCACTTTTTTTACAGTGAATGGTGTCAAATTTGGGATCAAGGTCCATTTGAAGGCAAACCATGGAGTTGAGATTTAGTGATCTGGGGTTGCAGGAAGACAATTTAAGGGTTGTGATGCTGAGGGTCAAATCCTTGTGGGGACTAGTTAGCTGGTGTTTCACTGGGTCTGATATGATAAGGAATCTCTTGAGACAACGCTTTTTAATGTATGTCTTAGAGTGATAAATAAAGAGTACAATCCCTTGTTGTGTACCAGGCAAAAAGTATTATCTGCTTGATGTGCTCTTGACTATGTTTAACATTTATGCTGTTATGTAGGATCCCCAGGTGACATCACTTTTATCGATTTTGCCCGCTGTTGGTTTACATTCACTCACCTATACGTGTGGTTCTATAAAATAAGGTTATATAATGGAGGAGAACTTATAAATATTTTGTGAACTCTTAAACTCAGTGTTCCCCTATTACCTAGTACTTTTGGAGTTATCTTCACAAATGGTCTTCTTACAAACTCAGTGTTCCCCTATTACCTAGTACTTTTGGAGTTATCTTCCCCAATGCATGCCTATCTCACTCTCACACATATTCCTACACAGGGAGTGATCAATACATCAATGTCATGTTATACTCATTATTAGCCATTAATTCCACTTGCATACAGTGACTCTACTTTATTAGTTATGTGAACCGTTAAATCATATCAAAATAACGTTTAAGATTATACGTGAGAATTACAGGCATAAGTTAATCCTCCCCTGTACATTTATATTAGCACTGTGTGGATGCTAAAGCATATATTATATTGGTCACATTGCTCTGTATCAAATCATAAATGCAGTAAAATTACATGTTCAGGATGCTTTTGGATAAAAAAAAAGTTTCAAGTGCTAAGTTTTTAAAAGCTGAAAGCTGAAGACAGAACTAAAAGGAATTAGATCATGCATGTGAACAACAGGACTCTTTGTTTCATCTTTCAGTCACCTGAGCAGCCATATATATTTGTCACTTCGTTTTTCTTTTTCTCTTTTTCTTTAAAAATAAAGGTAAGAATGAATTTTACGTTCAGAGTTGATAAGACATTCCACAGTACAATTGTTTTGAGAAGCATCCAATAAACTTTCTACTGGCTCATCCTTTTTGCATTAGTGAGGGTCAGGGATCATTAGGTTTTAATGGGAAATTTCTTTGCTCAGTGCATCTTTCACTCATATTGTGATACGTGTCTTATTTTTATCAAATCAATAATAAATAATTTATTTTAAAATTAGAAGAAAGAGACTGATCTGATATAAAGTAAGACACATGTCTCACAATATGAGTAAAAGATGTACCGAGTTTTCGGTACATCTGTAGTACCAAAAATATTCTCGTTTTAACTACTTTTTAACGGAATTGTCCCTCTCCATAAATCAACGGCTTTAAGTAATGAATATTTTGTTGGAACACTTTGTAAAGCAAGAAACAGACCTGCCAACTCACCATTAAGCAGTAGTTTTTTCTTAAATGGTAACTAAGAAATATTAGGAGTTTGTGTCTAACATTCTAAGGCTTATGTGGTGGGGGTTTACTGGTCAATCCCTATGTAAAGCCACATTTCTTGACCTTATAGTCATATTCATTAAAGACTTTTATTATGAATAGAATTGTATATCAATGAGATAAGTGATTATCATTTTTTTTAATTATTCTCTCCTTTTTCAAATATCATTCAAGATAATTCTTAAAAGGGTGATTATTTGCTAATAATCCTAAGATATTTGTTAATAATCATGGAGACAATTTGCCATAATCCTTTAACAAGTTGTGTAGGCAAAATTAGTCTTAATAAGTGCATTATGATCACATTTTAAGCACATTCGGTATATGCATGTATCCATATTAGTTAACCTTTACCAAATGTGCAGGATTAGTGAATTCACTCCACGCATTACTTACAGAAAAATTGTTGCTTAAGAGTTATAACCTTTTACCTTGGATTTTCTAAGGTTTAGTTAAATCTATTAAAGAAAGAATAGTTTCCGAATATGCTAATGAAAATCTGTTATAAGCTGGGATGTGGAGCTTAATTTGGTAAAATATAATCAAATGAAAAAGATTTTGGTGTGGGGGGAATCTTTAGAAAATAAACTTGCGCCAGTAATTCAACTATAAAGAGAAGGGAAAGGAAAGAAAGTACCTATAGCATAATGGCATTGCATGCTTCTTAATTGTAAGGAAACAAAAAAGAAACAAAGAAACAAACACAAAAAACGAAAAAGGTAGAATATGAAAAATGTCCCCCCATCTTCTCCTACTCCATCTTGGCAAGAATCTCTAGAAGGAGCCTCCCTAATGTATGACTTTCAGGAACACTTTCTTAAAGGGCTAACAATTTCAAAACTCTTTAAATGCAACACTATCTTATCTGACAAAGTCAGTGACAGATTCTCCCGCCCCCTACTACAACCTCACCACCTACCTAGTCTCAAGTCTAAAAGTATTTTTGTGACTTTTTCCTAGCTAAGCAAAGTTTTTGTGGTTATTTAAGCAAAATTCCTTCAACCATTATTCTCCACTGGCCAAGTTTAAAACAAAATGAGTAAAAAGCATCCTCAATGGAAGTTAATTTATAGGTATTGATAGTTTATATTTCTTGGTGAATCTTTCTAGTGGAAGATGAGATCAAAGGTTTAAGTGGTTATTATTATTATGCACAAAATATTACATGGACAGCACTCATGAAAGGCAAGAGGGTAGTATAGTATTCCTTACCCCCCTTATGAAGTTCTAGTATAAGCTTGCAATTTGAGGACTGCAAAAGACTTCCACTTCTTGAAGAGTTGCTTTGGACTCATCACCAAAAATAGACTCCTTGCCATCCTCCCTCTTAGCATAAGACAATCCCAACCTAGACTTAGCTTGCCTCAAGTCACCAATGCCAGAATTGGTATCAGGCCCTGCAAAGCCACCCATAACTGGGGCTAATGGGGGCCCTATGAGTAGGCCATCAGCCCCAAATTGTGGCCCCCCACGAGCATAATCAAACAGGGCTGCACCACTGCCACCAATCTTGGGCAAAATTATTGGTTTAGTTTCATTGTCTATCCAATAAAATAGGAAGGCATCAAATGTGTCATAGTAGTCATCTGTGCTTCTATAGCCTTCAGGGCTAAATGCACCAAACTTGAAAGACTTGTTTGTATAGCCGATTATCACACATGGCCCCTTGAAATCACAGCATTCATGGAAATCAGTTGCACTAAATCCATCAATTGTAGCCCTATAGCAGCATTTGAGTTCCTTCCCTGATCATAGTTTCTTCAAATCTCATATATATGTTGAGTTTTTATTATGGATAGTAATAATAAATGGTAATAGTAACATGATTTTACATTGTTTATAGTAATTTTCCATTACCTTACTAGTTTAAAACTTCAAAAGAGAGAAAGAGAGGCAGTACCTTTCAAAAAAGTTTTATCCACCAGCGAAGTTGAGAAAGTAAGATCAATGTCATGGTATTTAATCTGAGGTTTGTCATCAACCCTCTTTCTGCCTATGTTCCAACCGAATAAGCAATATGGGCTTGTCTTCCAACCTTGGAATGATAGAGAGTTTGGGATACAAGATGCCATCCAGATATGACCAACTAAACACTATCCATCCACCTAGTGCACTTTCTCCAATAAAACACAATTCATCATCTTATCCATATTTACTCAAAATATCTTGCACACCTTTACATAAGTTCATGGAACAAAATGATACATGGGCTCCATAGTCAGTACTCACTAGACCCACATCTACAGAAAGCTTGGATCACATTAATTTTTATATTATTGTCAATATAAATCATATATAATTTCCATCCCTTTTTTTTAAGGAAATACAAAACTAATCCTAAAAATGAATTTGAGCGTTACAACTTAAAATAAAAAGTGTACTTCTTATTATCATGTATTAATATAGGGAAAAATATGTTCTTTAAAATGACATAACTTCTGTCATTTTACTTTCACAAAAAGGTTTGACCCACATTTTTTTTTGTCCACTCCCTCTCTCCCATGATTTATCTCTTTCTCTCATTTAAAATGACACAACTTTACGTCTTTTAAAATGATAAACATTTTTCCCATTAATATATATTCTCTAGATGTATTGAAACATAGAATCAGCATTAGTTGGAAAAATGAATTAGATTTTAAATTTAGTGATATCTTCATAAATTATGATTATTAGATTTATGCCGTGTTAAATTTTTATATTACAGCTTAAAATGAATATTGGAAACTTATTTATCTAGAGATAATTTCAAGAATAGTGCATAACTAAAAGGCTTAATTTAATCACGCTTAAACAAATATAAAATACGCAAATTCAAACAAAGATGTTGATAATTGGTTTTAATTCAAGAAAAATGGATCAATTTTAAAGAATAGATACTTCTATAGATACCATGATAGATAGTTTGATAGTAAATGTATCCATGCATTTTATAATATAGAATATATAGCATCATTTCGGGAGATATTCTTTTATGGACCAAGTGTAAAACATAATCAAACATATATATCATCACCATCGCTAATCAAAAAACATATAAACCATATCCATGAAAGAATGTAGTATTCCCTGGGATCCCTGAATTAATCAACTCCATGAGAAGGTAAATGGTTCTCTAACACATCAACTCGGGGTTTCTCACAACTAACACAAATCTCATCACCGGGTCTAAACTCTTTGAAGCATGCTAACCTCCCCAGTTCTTCAACTTCCTCTATAATAAAGTCCAGTTTTGCCACTGTTTCCACAAGCAAAGATGCAAAAGCAGCAAAAGGCAAAGCTTCAGAGAACTCAAGGCTAGTGATGGCGATTTTACTCAGCTGGTGTCTTAACACCTTTCGTTCTGATGCTTCCTTTGGTTGTTCAGTGGATACCCTTTTGGTTTTCCATTCTTGCAATGCTGAAGAATCGGTTTTAACACTTGATAGTGAGGTTTTTCCATGTTTTGTGTTCCCTGCTTGTGCAGCAGCCATGGCAAGCATGTTGTTAGCTTGGCTGTCATTGGAACCTAAGAAGAGCCGAGGCTGAGATTTTATGGCAGTGTTGAGGTCCTGTAGTGCTTCATGAAGATGATCAGAGAGTATTTCCGGAGAGCAATGGCGACGATTCCTTATGCTATTGGCAAGTTCTATCAGCACTTTTGATACCTCTGTTGCTAGCCTTATGCAAGGGTCCTTGAACATGACTCTAACAGATCTTGGTGTCTGAAAGAAAATTTCAAATTAAGGATGAAAAACTTGTACAACTAATAGTGGATTAAGGAGAAATTGCATGGTGCATCCTCTCTTAATAAGAACTGTAAAAGTAATAATGAAAAGTAATTAATGTAGCTTGGTGCCTTATTTTTACATTTCTTTAGATTTAGCTTACTTCACTAATAACTCACTATTTTGTGTTGATAGCTTTTTATTATTGCTTTAAAAGTAACATTAGTAACACTCTTCTAAAGTTTTCAAAACAAAATAATAAGTTCCAAATATGAAAGTTGTGTAATAAGAAATAACTTTGAGGTATCATTGTCATTTATCAAATGAGATGATAAGTTGTGACCTGTGACAGTGTAAAGAACCAATTCAACCCAAAAATTTAAGTTGTTGGGTGAGAGCTCTTTTAATGATTTATATTATTCTCTAACATGTCCCTTCACAGAGAGCTCACTGGGGCTTGAAAGATGGACAATGCATAAATTCACCTACTTGTGCTAACAAATTCCTCAAGACTTAATTAATTATTAATTAAATGGGGACGCTGAGAATCGAACCCATGACACCGAGGCTCTGATACCATATAAAGAACTAATTCTACCCAAAAGCTTAAGCTATCTGGTAAAAGCCCTTTTAATTGTTTATATTATTCTCTAACAGAATTTGCAGCTTCACATAAATGGTTGAATTTATGCAAGTAATCAAACGTTACCTGAATTTGTGTTCTCAAACAGCCATGTAAGGCTACCACGGTATAGCCAAATTGACGAAGAACATTTCCAACTTTTACATACTGCTGCCCTGGAAATCTGTGACAGTACCTTGAATGCCTTGGCTCCCAACTTGCATGTAATGCCTGCACAATTCATTTGTACACTAGGCTAATCAACAAATGATATATTATGTTTTTAAATATAAAATAATTGTGTGACCCAAAAGATTTATGCAATTATTTAATATTGATTGGCTTTGTGCACACAAATTTTGTGTACCAGATGTATACAAGAATTTCTCTTGAAGATCTGCTTTTAATGCTAGCTTCATTATGTTAGGATGTTTTAAAATGAAACAAAAGCATATAGATGACTTACCAGAGTTTCATCAGTGAATTTTGAATCCAAAACAGCCTTATAACCTTTGTATATGGGATCCTCAGACGATTTTATATCTCCAGAGGCTTCCATTTCTCCATAAAAGTATTCATTGACACAAACTGCAGGATTTTACCTTGATTAGTGTTAGTGTTAATTTACACAGTAAAGCACAGGACTAGGAGGTTTGATAATTTGCTTTACAGAAAAAATCGTATAGATTTTTAAGTTGTGGTAAAGGACACAGAAAGTGGTGAACTTGTATAGGTGTGTGATGATTTTGCATACCTTCAATAGATTTGGCTAGGCCTTCAAGCTTGAAAGCTGTGGAATCATGGAGGTCTTCCCCTGACCAATTTGGAAATATCAATATACTCATCAGAAGGCAAACGACACAGCCTATGGCTATGGTGTAGAAGCGGTCATGTGCAATCTTCAAGACATTTTCAACCCGGTAACTCGAAACAGTTATCAAGTTGAAGGTCAAGAGAAATATAACAACACCATAATCATAGTTCTTCTTTATATATGGAAAGAACCTCATATAAGTGGCTGCAGCTCCTGCCATAACAAAATGATAGGACAACACATTTAGATCAGAGTTCTTTTCTGAGTTTTTTTTTGTTACAATTGAGGTCTAAATATTTGCTAGTAGAAAGTGAAAAAAATAGGTTAAGTGTGAGTAATGACCAATGAGTCAAGGTCATATTTACAAGTTTCACCTTCACAGGCTTATAACTAGTATCAGATCCTTGTCTAGGAACCATTTGTTCTCTTCATTGAATGGATTATGGTAACATAAAATCATTTAGGCTTAAATTTTCATGAGTTGGTTGTTGATATGGTATCAAAAGCCTATGTGATAAAATGTTTAGAAGTTTGATCCATATACCTATGATAAAAACTGCAGCCCCAATGAAAACAGCTTGAAGGATCCTACCAGATGCATTTGCAACATACTCAATAAGAAATGCCAATAATCCTGCTAATAGTGTCCCCAATCCTCGGTTGAGTCCTTTGCATAAAGTTGCCCCTGCGACCAAAAGAAAGCTAGAAATTAAGGTCATCTATACAATGTATTATATGTCTATATCACTATGTCTACGTCCAAAACAAAGTAGTTATATAAAACTATTAATATGGCTTTCACTTAATAGCTTAAGCTTTCGGTTCGAATGGATTCTTTACATGATATCATATTTTGAGAGAATCTAACCTGCAGTGAACTCGAGCACCACCACGACGGTCATGACAGCCCAAATAGCATTCTGGCCAACCCCTTCAAAGAGTGGCTCCAACAGATACAACAAAGAAACTAGAGTCAGAGACAAACCAACTTTGAATGCATGGATCACCCTTCTTGGGTCATCATGTCCCACCTTCCAAGTAGTTTGCCAAGCCAAACTAGGTAACCTCCTTAGCTTCTCATCAAAAACATGCATACGTTTCTTCCAATTCCCAGTGATTCTTCCACCCTCATTCCCAGCCATTGCCATTTCCAACCCTGCATGAACCTTAAAAACCATTTCTTAATGAAGAAACAGATTCTATTTAGACTCAGACTAGTGGAAGCAGGTCTCAAAGAATATGGAATTCCAAATGCAACAAGTTAAAGAGGCTTCTCAAATGGTGTTTGATATTTCAGCCCTTAACACAGGAAATAGTTTTTTGAAGAAAAAAAAATGGAAAGGTGCTGATATTTTTATGAGATAACGGGGATTCTAGATATATAATGATGAAAATCCCAACCTTCTCCAAGAACCGTGAACTTTATATGGTGTGGTATAGGGAGAAGCTGGCAATGTTCTTTCTACATTCACGTGCATTCCATTAAAGTACACAAGGCTTTTAAAGTGAGTAGCTTTCTCAAATCTTAATTAGATGTCAACAAAGAGTGGAAACCTTATTATACTTGTGCTAGCACTAATGACTTTTTGTTTTTGTTTGCAAAGCCGTTTAACGAAATTTTTTGTATATTGTTACATCTATAAACTATTAATATTGATATCTCCCTTTACTTTCTATGGTTATGCTTAATTTGCCCTTGAATATTATGAAAGTGACCATCAAAGATCTAGTTTAACCGGCCAAGGCTACGTACAAGAAGGTACAATACAACGAAAAACTACTCAATTTGATTCCGTTTAACAAGCAGAAAAATCATTCTGTAAACATAAAGCTATATAACATACGTATTATACTATTATTAAATTTTAATATGATGTGTCAAAATCAAATAGTATATATACATAATTACATATATAAACTTAATTACTCGTTAAGCTGTATGTCCTTTGTCCGTTTCTTTGTGATTGCAAATATCACTCTTGGAGACTGTCCTGTCACCGATGTCATTGTTTCACAGACTCACATTTAGAAAGTGAGTATGCAATGTGAAAGCAAGCAATTCTTGCTAGGCATAGTTCAGAGTTTGATTCGCATTAAAGACAGTGGAGTCCAAATAGGTTCACGGAAAAAATGGCCAATTGGGTATATCCTCTCAGGTAAATGGTAGAGAGGTGTCCCTATCCTGCATGGAAAATAAGGTAGCCACTACTTTTAGACAAAGAATTTTAACCAAAGGTTTTTTTTTTTCCTCTTATAAACTTTTGGTAAGGTAGGTGGCAAGACAAAGAAAAAGGCAAAACTATAGAACTTCTCAAGAAAACAATTCAAATGGAAACTGGAAAGCCTCTTAAAACATCTAACGGGTGGGTGTTTGGTACAGGAGAACTTTTTTTTTTACTAGGAAAATATGAAGTAGGTTATACTTACAACCTTCTTTTTTTACAACCTCTTATAACCATATCTTAACACCGTTGATTTCCGCCAATCAGCGGTTATGATTTTCACAAATTAAACTCATTAATTAATTATTAATTCACAATAAATGATAACCGTTGATTGACGGAAATCAACGGTGTTAAGATATGGTTGTAAGAGGTTGTAAAAAAAAAAGGTTGTAAGTATAACCTTCCTCAGAAAATATAATTACAAGGAAAAACATGGGAAAGTAAGTTTAATAGAAAAGTTTAAAAAAAGTTGTTTGGTACTGTTCTGTCTTTGGGACAGAGATGTCCAGCCCAATAAGTTGGTATATTACTCTTGGATCTAGTGCCCTCTCTAAGGTATCTATGGAAGAGATACCCTTGAGTCGAGCAGATCACTGTGCACAGAATACTATTAACGACGTTAGCCAATGGGGTGTGTGTGTGCACAGTGACAGCATACAGTAAGAGAGAGAACGTACGTACCTTTAGGGTTTACCTCTTATTTATAGGAGTTACCTGTGGGTAATGTCATGTGGGCCTTTAGTGCCTCTGATGAGGGCTCAGGCCTATCTGCTATGCTGTCGTATTAGGATTAGTATCCTTGATGGATTCTATCCGTAATTATACTTGATTAGAATCTTGGATTGTCCCTTATCGGGCTTGTCATTCAATGGGCCCTTTATATAGGTCCATAACAAGTATCGCAAAATATTACTGAAAAAATTGGATTAAATTTTTTGAGTCTATGTTTGGTTGAAAATAAAATTTTGATGGGAAAATAGGTAGAAACTACGAAAGTAACCTTTTTTTTAAATAGAAATACCATGTTGCATTTATCTGATTTTTTAAATAGAGGGGTAATCTTGTCACCATTTTCATTCACTTTTTGCATTTATCTGATTTTCATAGAAATACCACTTTGGAAGTTGCATTCGTTAACAGTGCATTTGTTGCTTTTTTACATGCATTTGTCAATAGCTAGGCAACTGTGTTTGATGGGTAAAATTGTTCATTCCTTCTACCAAACGGGGACAACCGACAATACCACATGCACTTCGCTGGAAAATTTTACAGAACTTCCGAACCAAACACCACCTAAAGGAGGAACATAACCTTGGTGTAAGAGAGGAGGGGAGTGGATCATCATATTTAACATGACCTATAATATAATTAAATCATGTGAAACAATATCGCATGTTTATTGATAAATCAGGAAATATTTAATATGATTCTGACCCACCATTTGATTCAGTGGTTCGGGTTAATCAAAATGGAATATTTTTTAACTTGTGGATCCAAAGAAGGGAGGAAATTTATGTTTTTGTCCAAGTGTCTCATTCCTAATGGAAGGAGCACTTGCTCCAGGTGCACAAAAGATGATCTCGATAAATTAATGGTGATGGAAGATAAAAGAGAATAAAAAAGGATGACCATTATAGGACACCCGACAATAATAATGGCCATAAATATCTATCAATAGAAAAAAAAAATGGTGAAACTTATTCTATTTTAGGTTAACTTAACTTCATGAACTAGGAATTTTCACGTCCGGATCAAATGAGTTTAAACCGATTAAAATATAGGAAAATAGAATTGTCATGTTACATGACACAACTTCTTTTTCCTACATACTCAAAAAAGTGAGACCCATTCCAATTTTTTTTTCTATACAATGAGATCCACAATATTTACGTGTCTATGACATGACACAAGAAGTGTCATACAATATTATATTCATAAAACCCTAAATATGACATTTTGAACAATTTTCTTTTTTAAGAAAACCTGATCAAAATGGCATTATTAGTTCATGTTTTGGTTTTGGATTTTGTTGGGTTCAGTCTCAATATCATTGAAACATCACGAAAAACAAAAATGGAAGGCACTCAACGCAGCTGAAATCTTCATTTTAAGAATATTTAGTTCGAGCCAGTTTAACAAGAACACAAATCTCTCCAACTGTTTGATAATGGTAACTTCTATGCAGTTTTGTGTATCTTTCTTCATTCAATTTTGATTATTGAATGATAGTGTAAATACCGCACATATTATAACAGTAAATATATAAATCAGCAAATGCCAAAAGAAAAGTGTATAAATCAGCAAAATCTCTAGTTCACAATAAGAAATTAAAAACAAAAACCAATAGATTTTTTTTTCTTTTTGGAAAAAGATCTTCGGTATAGAAGAAAGCCCTGGATAGATAGAATGACATATTAATCAAAAGAAAAGAAGGTCATTAGTCAAAATAAAATAACAAAGTTGGTTTGTTTCCAAGCCAACGGCAGCAACCAATAAAGGTTCATACCTTCCAAGAGACAAGCTAATGCCAGGACTTTATTTGTAACAACATAATAACAATAGTTCATGACTATGTTTCACGCCTCAATGTTCACGACTCAAAAGCATGCATGGATATTAGAGACAAGAAGCACCAATGATTAAGTGCAAAGTTATTCAAAAATTCATGGCGCATACTTGCCAAGGTCCTATTGAAACATAACTTTAAAATAGGCTACGAGCCTATGCCAAACACACGGATTCTCTGTTGGATTTGAACCCGGCAGTAAGGACAAGCAGTCTTACCCTTTCTTCCATGCTCAGCACTGCAACTAGCACACATAACTTGGTGAGCACACGGCAAGAAAACAATGGAGACTCTATCTTTCATGCACATAATGCATTCTCTGTTGCTCTTCACTTCTTTCTCCGAATGATCCTCCATATCATCTAATTCTTGAAGCAGATTAGCAATTGCTGTCTCCCATTGGGGCATTGCATCCTCGGAGTTAGTTATAGATGATGACTCAGCAGACTGAGCAGATGCTTTAAGGCGCGAAATCTCCTCCTCAAGTCTTGATAGATCATCCTTGTGGCGCTGGAAATCTATCTCTATCTTCACGCGCAAAGCCTCAAGCTTCCTCTTATTTTCAGACTCAGCAGTTTCCTTAGCTTGGCGTTCCTCCTCAACTAGTGCTAGGGCTTCCTCTTTGGCGTTCAACTCTTCCTTCCACTTGACCTGTAATAAGTTATTACACAGAATGAATGGTTCAAAGTAACACGTGTAAGGTGGTAGAACGAGAAAGAACAATGATAGACACTCTCCTAATAAATCAAAGCTAGACTCAAACTGTAATAAGTTTCTATGATTCAGTGTAGTTTGGAAGAATGCATCCATAGAAAGACCATGGTGCCAATAGGAATATAAAGTTGAAAATACCCAGGCAAAGAACACCACACTCAAAACTATGTTCTGATAAGTCTAATCTAGGAATACACAGTTTGAACAATATGAAGTAACCAAAAAGCTGTTTACAGTGATTCAGAGAACAAATGAAGAAAAAGATGCTGCCTTAAAGATCAGTGAGATCAAATTACAGTTCACATAACTAACTTTTGAGGTTCATTACAAGTACACCCAAATACAAAACATTGACAATTTGGATTTAAAATCTGTACAAAGTTCCAGCCAGTTCTTTTGGTATTCGTAGAGAAGAATGAATCCATCCTAATTTGAGAACCAATACACCATAGTTTGATCATATAAATATAAAAACCTAAAATAGCAAACAGTGCCAGTATCAATACAGCTTTTACACTTTATCAATACTTAAAAAAATAAAAAATAAAAATGAAACCAACTGCCCATAAAACCGGAATTGCAAGGGCAGGGATGAGAAAATCCTTGTGCGAGGCCTTACGCTTATAAAGGCCTTATAATTTTGCAAAGAGACTGTTTTTTGAATTCAATCATAAAGTAGAAAATTCATGAATACTTAGGTGATGCCAAATACTTTAGTAAGACTGCACATGGGATACAAAACACTATTATCTCACTACTTCCATATCTAGTATAGTTGATGCCAAATAACAGCACAAGTCTCAAAATTATTTATACATAATTGACTCAATCAATGTTAGCAGTTTCAGAAGCCAAACATTAGTAAGTTAGCATTTGATACGGTAGGAATTACGTGTACGGAAGGTATATTGTAGGAGGAAAGTGCCTGCCAAAGGCGGTTAGACCTCCTAATGTAGGTGGGCAGTTCTTGATACATATACTGTTGACTGAGGCTATTACTTAGTGAAAGGGACATCTCCCTCATATGGGCTAAGCCCTCGTACAATTCTTACACGTCAATACAGAATACATATACTTTTTCCTTCATCTTCCTCCATTCTTTCCTCTGTAAACTCACACTCACAAACCAGAGCCGTATCAACATTCAGAAAATTATTAAGTGAGCTAACACACCACACCAACAATGCTGCACTGCTGTATTCATAATCATAAAACTATGCTTAAACATATATCAGTAAAAAATGCTCATCATTACTATTAAAATTCTCATATTCTTTGTTAATATGCAGGACAACTTAGAGCTTCCTTGGAGGCCTCTGATTTCTATTGATGGAAGCACATTTTATGAATTAAATGAATATCTGACATATTTTTCTTCCAGACAAACGGATATCTAGGAGTACTTGCAGATTATTATTTTCTAGAAGTATTTATTAATGGTGCTTTAGTTGGGAAAAAAAGTCAAGTATTTATCTGTAGGTCAACATATAACATAAAGAATTGAAAGAACTTTTGCTCTAAAATAAGACAGAATTGCAGGATTTGAAATGCGGATTTTTCTACTTTTTACTTGAAAGTAAAAGTGCATCTAAACAACAAATTGGGTATAGACTCATCCAATAAATATATAGCTGCTCCGAAAAGAAAAAAATGTAGGTGCAAAAGGACAAATAAAACGACGAATGGATAATATGGAAAATGGAAGGTGGTGGACAAAACCTAGATTAAAGCATGGCTGGCTCGATCTAGAATCCTTTGCTGGTGATCTCATGCAAATGTTGAACTCTGTCATTGCCTTTGCAATCATTTTTCTTCTTCTTTTTCACTTATAGCCAAACGACGTCGTTTTATGAGGTTTTATTTTAAAAAATATAAAAAAAGAGTACATGAACCATCCGGTTTCTATAAACCGGCCAGATCACCAAATTATACACAAACCCGTTGGGTCAAACCGGTTTGCACCGGTCGATGACTTAAAAAAAAAAAATTCTCATAAAACAATGTAATTTAGCTATAAGTGAAAAAAAGGAAAAGAAAAAAGATAGCAAAGGCATCGACAGAGCTCAACACCTACTTTAGGTCATCACAGCAAAGGATTCCAAACCCAGCCACCCAGCCATCCAGCCATGTCTATGTCAAGATTCTGTCCAGCCGTCCATTTGTCCAAGATTCATGCTTTTTTTGTCCTTTCGCCCCTATTTTTTTCCTTTTTAGTGCAGCTATGTATTTATTGGATGAATCTAGATTCAAATTCTGTTTTTTATTTTTATTCAATTTTCCTTTCAAGCAAAAGTTGAAAAATTAGAATTCTAAATCCTGCAATTTTCTCTTGTTTTAGCACAAAAGTTCTTTCAATTCTTCATGTTATGTGTTATCTTCAAAATCGATAATATGAATAAATGGGATTTAACTTAATCCCGGGAAAGAAAATGCCTCTGATATTTTAGGAAACAGTATAATAAAGCATAATATGCTGATGTTCTTTTTTTTGGTAATGGAATATGTACTAAGTTCATTCCTTATAGGCAGTATTTTAAAAACAAGCTTGAACAAGCCAATTCAATTCAAAAACCGGAAAACCGATCATGTAATTGGTCCGGTAACATACAAGATTGGTCATGTTCAAGAAGTGGTATGAACAAGTTTACCCAGTTGGTTTTTGTAAAAAACGGTGACTTGACCGGTTCATATAAAATTGGACGGGTCATGCACTCTTTAATTAAAAAAACCTTATAAAACGACGTCGTTTTGCTAGGGAAGGGAAAAAGCCCATTAAAATGACCCTTATAAAACGACGTCGATTCGATCTCACCGTGCCTTGCGATTTCATGAAAAACCCTTCCAATACATTTGTTTTTCAATAACCCGACTTGAATGGCCTTAAAATGACCCGAAAAATGACCCGATACTTCAATTAAGTCATCTAAGTATTGAAAAGGGAAACAAAGAAACCCTAAATGAGCCTCCCCTCAATGTATCGTGCAACACCCAGAATCAAAGCCTTCCCATTCGGCCGCGGGCCGCGCATTCTCTATTGCATCTCGTCTCCCATCTATGTTTGCATCTTTATTGTTGCGTGTCTCCTCTATATTCTGGTGCGTTCTCTTCTCTCCCTTCTCTATTTGTATGGTTTTTTATACTACCTTCTATGTTCTGTGGGTTATTCACTCTCCATATTCATTTTGTGACTTGAATGATTTGAATTTGATAATGATTTGGAATTGTCTTTTATATTATAACTCTTTTGTTGTCTTTTTATATTTGCTACCTTTTATATTTGAAGTTGAGATCAAATGTTATTTACTATGCATAAATATTATTTTCATAATTAAAGTTATGAATATAAGATTTTAACGATCTGTCTCGATCCCACGATTTATAATCTTGCCACCCTTTTGCGATTCTCGGTAAGATCTCGAGTTTGACTACCTTTCTCGCACGAGCCCCCCAACCTTCTTCTGTACCCTCACATGTTTGCACGCAGCTTACAGGTATACTTCACATGTAGGTCCTCCTCAGCCTCTATTTTGCATACATGTGCTCCCTCTCCAGCCTTTCTTTTATGCACAAGTTCTCCTTTCGTCTCTGATTTTTGAGCACTAATGATGAATGTGTATGCAGTTGTAGCATTTTTTGGAGTAGGTCTGTGGGGGCTCTGACAAGTGGGACTAGGTCCAGCAATGCAAAGGAGTCCATTGCAGTTAGTTGGAAGAGAGAGGGGTAGTTATATGGGGGTGATTTGGGGTGGGTTTTCACGAATTGAGTAAATTGGAGTGGAATTTGGGGAACTCTAGGGTCTGGGTTATTGACCTTAGGAGCATATGGGGGTTTCTTTTGCATTTGTGTTTCTGTATCTCAAGGGATAGTTTTCCTTGAGGGAGTCATTTAGAGTTTTTCCGCTAATTGAGTCTTTTATTTCAAGTAGGAGGAGAGTGTTCACCTCTATTAGTTGTCTTTTATTATTTTCAATTATTGAAAGTATCATTTGTTTCTGTGAGCCTGTTGTTTGAGTCTTTGATTGAGTTTTCAGTGTAAGGAGAAAGTCTCCCACTGTTTAGTGTTAACCTGATATATTATTGGGTTCCATGAAGCTCCTTCATGACACATTCCGCAGTTAACTACTTTGGTGTGAGCACATACACATACTAACAAATATGCACAAACACGGACATCAATGCGGACAACTTAGAGTGTCCCTTATAATTTGAAGTACTGTGTTGTCCCAAACAAAAATGCCAAATATGTGTCCAACACAATCACGGCTACTTTTTTGAACTCTCCAATTCTCAATGCTTCATAGTATGCACGAAAAACTGATACAGATGCAATATTTATGAAATTCAAGAAAGAGAAGGGAAAAATACAACATTTTAAAGTTAGATATGCATTCGATTACTCAGTTAAAAAATAACCAAAGTATTTTATGCAGAAACTATCAATTGCAACGTGACGATGGTTAACCGAGCACCACAATAGTCTAGGCCATATTGATGTCTGATTTTGAAACATGTTACTCTTTTTTGGGAAAGACCATGAGGTGACTCCACCCCATTTGGGTATTATCAGCTTGGCCCTGACCAAAAGGTGCTTCCAATGGGTTTCAAGCCCCTTCCCTACAGGTAAAGTCCACCCACAATGAGCACAATTTGCAATTTTGCAAACTGAGACACACCTTGAGGCTGAAACATGTTACTTTTATTCTGACATGAGAAATGCATGTCCCAATCAATAACCTCACTCTATGCAAACAGAGACAAATGCCGCAAAACCATATTTTCTTTAGAGTATGGTGGTCAATGTGTGACAGTCACAATACATAAATAAATAATAGGTAAGTGAATAGCAAACCTTAGCTTCTTCTCGAGACTGCTTAATCTGAGCCAATTCTTCTTGTGTCTTCAATACCTTTTCTCTTTCATCAGAAATCTCCTGCTCTAATTTAGCTTTCTGCTTTTCCCATGCTTTAAGTTTCTTTAAGAATTTTTTCTCCCTTTTCTCAACTTCTTTACAAGCATCCACTGACTCTGATGCACTTAATTTGGAAGCCTCAATCTCTGCTTTGATTTCTGCATTCTCTAACTCTATTCTTCTCACGTTTGCATTTGCACGGTCTGCTTGTCCACTAGCCCTTCTTAAGGCATCCTCCATCTCTGAGAGTCTCTTCATGGTTGAGTCATCAAGAGTTGGTTTCCCTCTCTTCGATTTCAGAGTCTCCTCTCTTTCCATCCGTAACATTTTGAGCTCAGTCAGATCATTGCTTAGCTTTCTTGCTGCTCCTATTACTGACTTATGAGCCCAATCTTTTTGCTCCTCGATATATTTCTCAAGATCCTTAATCTGCAGAATTATTTTGATTATCTTATCATCCCTCTCATTATCTTCCACAAGATGCATACCCTCATCAAGATTTAAATTGCTAAATTTACTCAGCGCTGATCTCAAATCAGCTCTGTCATCAAGATTCCGAGAATCTCCAGACTGCTCAACAACCTGTGTCTGCAAATTTTTGAATTTTTCCTTAAAACCAGCAGCAAACACAGCAACATTTCTCTTCAATGAGGATTTCATTGAAGGAGAAAGATTGAACCTCTTGGGAAATTCAATATCTCTTTGCAACTGCATTGCCACCATCTAACACAACATGCAATCACCTTTACTCAAAAAAGGCCTCACCTTTCTGAAACAAAAACAACATACCCTCCATAAGTACTCAAAATTCAAACTTGATGGAAGGAAGCGAAGATAGAATACTCACAGAGGGGTTTATTCAGAGAGAAGACAAAGGAGGCAGCTTGATAAAGTTTTCGTCTTTCGTTCAGTGAGTTCAGTACTGAGAATCAGAGTCTCGTTCGGTGCCTGGGGTTTACGAGCGAAGTTATTGTGAAAGGAGTTCAGACCACAAAATGGTTGGTGGGACTGAACTGAGAGAAAGAAGAAGAAAAAAGTTGAGGAGAGACAAAAAAGAAAAAAATAATAATTCAGGTATCAAATTTTATGTGAAAAAATTATAGTGGTCATGTACCACGTTAAAAAATTAGGGGGTTTAGGTTTTAGTTCCCTGCAGTTCTTAATATGCGGCTCTTTTAGTCGAAAAATGTTATTTGACGATGGTCACAATCAATTATTATTATTATTATTATTTAATTTTATTGTTAGGTTGATAATGTTAATATAATGATTATATTTATTTTATTTTTTATACGGTTATAATTTTTTATATTTAATGTGAAAGGATTAGATATGATAAATTATAAATATATAAAAGTAAAATAAATATAACTATATAAAGATAAAAATAAAAATAAATATTGAATATAAAAAATTAAAAATAAATATAAAGTATTAAATATGTAAAATAAAGTATTAAATATGTAAAATAAATATATAGTTGTGATTTCTCATATTTAATACTTTCATATTAAATATGAAAAATGATAACGTATGAAGATAGAAATAAATATAACCGTTATATTCAACCTAATAAAAAAATTAATTAATAATAACATTAATAATATGACCACCGTCAAATAACATTTTTCGGCTAAAGGATCAACCTATTTAAGAACTGCAGACAACTAACACCTAAACCCTAGGCACCGAACGAGCTTTTGAGTGTCAGTACTGAACTCACTGAAAACAAAAGACGAAAACTTTATCAAGCTGCCTCCTTTGTCTTCTCTCTTAACAAGCATCTCTGTGAGTGAGTATTCTCTCTTCGCTTCTCCACCCCTATATTTTGATCTTCATTTTACATTTCTAACCTCTGTCTTCTCCACCCCTTTATTCATCTCCTTATAAAAATCAAAAAATCATAGAAAAACACACAAAAACTATAAAAAATAAAAATGGGTTGCTTGATCAGGAGTGCTTATGGAGGGTATGTTGTTTTTGTTGCAGCAAGGTGAGGCCTTTTTTGAGTAAAGGTGATTTCATGCGGTGTGAGTGATCTTCCAATGGAAATGGATAGCAAAATGGAGATTCTAGTGCCTGGCAATGAATGCCCTGCTTCTGCTACCATTGAGGTTGAGGATGGTAGCAATTCAGTTGGTGTTATGGCTCCAGCCCCATGTAGGTTAGATGCAGGTTTGGGATTTGGAATTGGGGAAGGCTTAGAGATGAATTTGCAATTGCAAAGAGATATTGAATTCCCCAAAAGGTTGAATTTTTCTCCTTCAATTTTTTTAACTTAATTTTTTAAATTTGTTTAGTCAATTTAGTTTTTTAAGTTGAATTTTTTTTTTTTGTCAATTTAGTTCTTTGATGCCTTAATGAATGAAAGTTCAAAGGACCAAATAACGCATGTAGGTAGAAGCTTTATGTCTACTATATTTTTACATGTAACGAAAGGAAAGACAGTATCCAAAGAAGAATCATTATGCCAGCAATCCGACTGAGAGCAAAAATGCGCTTTTTTTTAATTTCTGTTCGTGATAACAAAAACGAATGGAAACAATATTTGATAAAATCGATTTATTATATTTTTTTTCTTAGGATTAACCGATTTAATTTTTGTTTTGAAAAAAAAAATAATTAATTTTTTTACTTCTCTGTTTCAGGATATAAAAATGAAAATCACTTTTTTTTCACCTAATTGAATTTTATAGGTTGAATTTTTGCAACAATCGGAGGTGGAAACGACACTACCGTTTCTGGTAGAGTTATCAGTGATCATTTGCAATGCTTGGTCAAAATCTTTTGGTGGCGCACAAGTTGTTGGTTCAATAGGTTAGACTCGGAAATGGGGTCGTCAGAGGTTTCATTATGGCTTTCACTGACGAAAGCTTTGGCGTTGAGGAACCTCGATAGGTTGGGAAGCGAGGAAGTAGTGAACAAGAGAGGAGGAAAATGAGTGTCGGTGGCGTGGTTGGCACATGTTTCGGAGACTTTGGGGAGATAAGAAGAAGGGTGATGAAGTAGAGGAGAGAAGCAAGGAGTGCACCAGTTTAGAGTCATAGCAGAAAATCATAAAAAGAAGATAAGGTTATTAATTAACGACTATGGCGTTGCGCTGATAGCTATTAACATTATGGTTTTGTTTGAAGAGGGACAGACGAGGAACGAGATGGCAATTAGGTGAAGGAGAAGAGTGTAACACCCCGTTCTAGAACCGGTTTGTTAACATTGCTTTATGATATTAAGCGCAGTTACAATCATATTGGTTCAATTAAAACCCGGATAAATTTTCATTTCCTATTTAAAACTTACTTGCTTTTCCTCATTAACAATGCCGAGTTTACAATAACCAATTGCGTGACCATAACCTTATTACCTTGAGGAATAATCAGAACTAGACTTAACATCATATTATTATTTGTTCGAGTTCAATACTAAACTCTTTTCACTTTTATTAAATTGTAAAACTTGTACTTACTTTATAGTTCTCACACTATACGTATCCATTCTTTGTTCACTTAAGAAATTCCTATACTGCCTTTATGGTCTCAATTTTCCCAAAATATTATAGGATTCTTTATTATCTACGCGTGGATTCAAACCGCGCTCAAATCGAAGCACCGTAGCCCAAGTTGTGAGATTTCTAAGAAAAGAGATGCTGAAATTCCCAGGACCCCCGCGCTCATAGCGTGGGTCCCTCGCTCCTAGCGTGAAAATGTCCCAGGAGGCAGAGAGGTTGGCACCCATAGCGCCACAGTGGCGCCCTCAGCGCCAATGTTACTGCCTCTTACTGGAAGCCGACGCCCTTAGCGCTAGTTTGGCGCCCATAGCGCCATACAGCAGGTCTGGGTGCCGAAAATAGGGCAATTTGACCTACCGATGATGTTTCATCCATAACTTTAGTTATACTTATCCAAATTACACAATCTTGGTCTCTAAGGAAATCTAAGAAAATTATCTACAACTTCCATCAAGATACAAGGGTCCAAATCTATCATATAGGATACGAAAATTGGACAACAATACGGAATATCTTTACTTTTACTTGGATTTTCAACCTAAAGGTCTTCTTTCACCTAATTGACAATCATATAATTCTTTCAATATGTGAATTATAGTCTTACAAAGTACTCATACACTAAGAGAAGCACGCATACCCTTTCATCGTGCATATATCTCTATTAATTACAACTTGTCTTAATTACAATTCATGGGACTTAGCTACCAAAAAGGACTATGATCAATCCCTTGGCTCTCAACAACAAAATAGGTACCAATTAAGATGAGCATAGGCTAAGTCCATCCAATAAAGCATGATATATATATGACAATTGGCTTTCAACTATAACTCCTATACATGGTATTTCTACATGTCATGTATAATCCAAAAAAAAAATGCAACATCTTCATGCATCTACTAATCCAAATATGGCCACTTGCCACTGGTAGCTCCTACAGCATCTTTTCCTGAAAGGGGGTCCCCACAACACGGGGTGAGATATACGAATATATCAAAGTAAACCAGGGGTAGATTGACAAAGTCCGCACACTATGATTCTATATGGGTGATTGTGGATAGATTGACAAAGTCCGCACACTTTTTGCCAGTACGGGTAGATTTCTCTGTTGAGAGATTAGCTAGGCTCTATGTGAAGGAGATTGTGAGGCTTCATGGGGTGCCTGAGAGCATTGTTAGTGATCGGGACCCGAAGTTCACTTCTCGCTTCTGGGGAGCGTTGCAGGAGGCTCTTGGCACTCAGTTGAGACTGAGCATTGCTTATCATCCACAGACGGATGGTCAGACCGAGAGGACCATTCAGACGTTGGATGATATGCTGAGGGCTTGCACCCTGGAGCAGGGTACTACATGGGATCGATATCTCCTGCTGGTTGAGTTTTCCTATAACAATGGTTTTCATGCTAGTCTGGGTATGGCTCCCTACGAGGCCTTGTATGGTCGCCGGTGTAGGACACCTACTTGCTGGTCAGAGGTTAGGGATACAGAGCGGTTTGGATTGGATTTTGTTCAGGAGACTACTGAGCAGATCAAAATGATTAGGGATCGTCTGAAAAAGGCTTAAGATCGTCAGAAAAGTTATTATGATCTCAAGCATCGGCCTCTAGAGTTTGAGGAGGGCGATCATGTATTTTTAAAGCTGTCACCGGTTACGGGTGTTGGATGAGCCCTGGGAGTGAGGAAGCTGAGTCCAAGATTTATTGGACCCTACCAGATTCTTCGTAGGGTAGGACCGGTTGCCTACCAACTCGCCTTACCTCCTCAATTAACAAATTTACACGATGTATTCCATGTTTCTCAGCTGAGGAGATATGTAGCTGATCCTTCTCATGTGGTTCAACCTGATGATGTTGAGATCCGGGAGAATTTGAAAACTCCAATTGGGCCACTGAAAATACTCAAAAGAGATGAGAAGAGGCTGAGGAATAAATCTGTTCCTATGGTGAAGGTTCAATGGGAAGGAAGGATGCCTGAAGAGTCCACTTGGGAGCGGGAAGACGAGCTTCTCCGGCAATATCCTGAGTTTAAGGACAGGTATGTTCTTGATTTTGCGGACAAAATCGCAAAAATGTGGGGTGACTATAATAGCCCTAACCTAATTAATTAGTAAATTACATGTAATTAAATAATTAAGCATGTATTAGTGAGTAAAATTAAGTATAGGACCTAATTAAGTGAATTTGGGTCACTTTCGAGGTAAAAAGTGTACTCAGTAAAAATTAAGGGGTATAAATGAGTGTAGGCAAAAGTACCCAAAATATAAAAATGAAAGTGGAAATATTCCTAGAAAAATATTCCAGACTTTTGGGTAAAGTTTGGTAGTGAATGGAGTTAAATAGATAGATGAGCTAATACCCGCTCAAAACAACTTAACTAATGTTAAGTGACTTAAAAGTGAGAAAACCCATTTCCCCTCCCCAAAACCGTCGAACAAGGAAAGAAAGAAGAAGAGTATTTGTTGATTCAAAAGAAGAGAGAAAGGAGAGAGAAAGGAGAGGGAAACCCTAGATCATCCAATCCTTAACCGTT